AAAAAAAAAAAAAGAAAGAAAGAAAAAGAAATAGGCAGAGAACAGATAGCAACAATTTCTGAAATTAACATGAAAAGGCAAAAGACTCAGAACAGCCAACACAGTACTGAAGGAGAAGAACAAAGGTGGAGAATTAAAACCAACCTATTGCCCAAATTATCTCTTTTATTTTCTTCTTTATTTATTTATTTTGAGATGGAGTCTCACTCTGTTGCCCAGGCTGGGGTACAGTGGTGTGATCTCAGTTCACAGCAACCTCGGCCTCCCGGGGTCAAGTGATTCTCCTGCCTCAGCCTTCCGAGTAGCTGGGATTACAGGTGTGCCACCACACTTGGCTAATTTTTATATTTTTACAAAAATACAAAAATGGGGTTTCACCATTTTGGCCAGGCTGCTCTCAAACTCTCAACCTCAGGTGATCTGCCTGCCTAGGCCTCCAAAAGTGCTGGGATTACAGGCGTGAACCACCAAGCCCTGCTCCAAATAATCTCTTTTAAATGCAAATCCCTTCACATAATTTTCCTGCCTAAAAATCCTTCAGTGTCTCCCATGATCTTCAGCATGCAGTTCAAACCCTAATAGAGCAAGTAGGCCTTGCACACTCCAGGACGCTGCTGCCAGAAACCAACTCTTAATCCAGACGGCCTCACCTCTGAGGTGCTCCCTAGCCTGCTCTCCTCCTGCAGCTGAGTCGGTACCTCTTCCAGCATTCAGTACATATTTGCAGTAAAACTCACATGGCACCCAACTGTAACTATTGGATAGCTCCACCTTAATTTGCTTTCACATCCAGAGACCCCAGCAAAGGGCCTGGCACTAAGCAGACTAAACTATTTGTTGAATAAATTGGTCATCAATGAATGGATGCATTGACAAAAAGAATAATATTCATATATGAAGTTTCTACTATACACTGACTCACACTTCCTAATTTCAAAACTAAAAAAAAGCTAAACATGGAATTACCCAGCAATACTCCTAGGTATGTGTTTTTATACTTTAAAGCATAAAAAACAAGGGCTCTCACACAAATGCTCGTACATGCATTCACAGCAGAACTACTCACAAGAGCAGCAAGGCAGGAACAACCCAAACATCCATCAATGTATGAAGAGATGAACAAATTGTAGTACACACATCAATGGAATATTATTTAGCCACAAAACAGGATAACGTACTAATACAAGCTACAGTGTGAATGAGCCAGAAGTATTTTTGGGAAACAACCTTGACACAAAAGGCCATTTGACTGCGTTTACATGAAATATCCAAATAGACAAACGTATAGACAGAAAGCATATCTGTGGTTGCCAGGGGCTGGAGGGAGAAGAAATGAGGAGTGACAGCTTATCAGTACAAGGTTTTCTTTTGGGGTAATCAGCATGTCCTGGGACTTGATCAGAGGCAACAGGTACACACACTGTCAATGTACTAAATGCCAATGAACTGAACGCTTTAAAATGCTTAATTTTAGGTTACATCAAATTCACCTCAATAAGGCGGGGATCACTTGAGGTCAGGAGTTCAAGATCAGCCTGGCCAACATGATGAAATCTCATCTCTACCGAAAATACCAAAAAAAATTGGCTGGCCGTGGTGGCACATGCCTGTAGTTCAGCTACTTGGGAGGCTGAGGCAGGAGAATTGCTTGAACCCAGAAGACGAATGTTACAGTGGGCACAGATCACATGCAGCCTGGGTCACAGAGCAAGACTCTGTCTCAAAAAAAAAAAAAATTCACCTCAATAAACAATTAGTAAATTTTTAAAAAGTTATGTGTCATGTCTCTATTTCAGAGTTTTATATTTAAGATTTTTCAACTCTATCCTATTCTATTTTAAGAAACCCATTCTACAGAAATACAGATATTCATGGCAGCATAAGCATAGCTATCATTGCTGTATTTTTAATAGTGAAAATTACATACATCAAAGAATGTCCCACAATACGGGAATGGCTAAATATAATACTCTATAAAAGTTAATAGAAAGGGTTAGCAGAACTGTAGGTATTAACACAAGAGTTCCATGACACTGATCAGTAAAAACTTAAGCTGTAGAATACTAAACTTAAAATGACCCCATTGCTGAATTTTTTTTTTTTTTTTTTTGATTCTCACTCTGTCACCAGGCTGGAGTGCAGCAGCGCAATCTCAGCTCACTGCAACCTCCGCTTCCTGGATTTAAGCTATTCTCCTGCCTCAGCCTCCTGGGTAGCTGGGACTACATGCACACGCCACCACATCTGGCTAATTTTCTTATTTTTGGTAGAGACGGGGTTTCACCATGTTGGCCAGGATGGTCTCCATCTCTTGACCTCGTGATCTGCCCACCTCGGCCTCCCAAAGCGCTGGGATTACAGGCATGAGCCACCGCGCCCAGCCTGAAAAAAAAATTTTTAACTGTGTGTAGGTATATGTACGTAGGTACATGCACATATGTTTATATAAACATATCACTTTTTTTTTTTTTTTGAAAGGCCTGGAACATTATACACCAAGCTGTTAAAAGTGGGCAGCAGAGGCCAGGCACAGGGGCTCATGCCTATAATCCCAGCACTTTGGGAGGCTGAGGCAGGCAGACCACCTTAAGTTGGGAGTTCAAGACCAGCCTGACCAACATGGAGAAACCCTGTCTCTACTAAAAATACAAAATTAGCTGGGCGTGGTGGCGCATGCCTGTAACCCCAGCTACTCAGGAGGTTGATGCAAGAGAATCACTTGAACCTGGGGGGCAGAGGTTGTGGTAAATTGAGATCACACCATTGCACTCCAGCCTGGGCAATAAGAGCAAAATTCCATCTAAAAAAAAAAGTAGACAGCAGGGGCCAGGGGCCGTGGCTCACGCCTGTAATCCCAGTAGTTTGGGAGGCCGAGGTGGATGGATCACCTGAAGTCAGGAGTTTGAGACCAGCCTGGCCAACATGACGAAGTATCGTCTCTACTAAAAATAAAATAAAAATAAAAATAATAAAACTAGTGGGTGTGGTAGCACATGCCTGTAATCCCAGCGAGAGGCTGAGGCAGGAGAACTGACTGAACCCAGGAGACGGAGGTTGCACTGAGCAGAGGTTACCCCACTGCACTCAGCCTGGGCAACAGAACGAGACTCTGTCTAAAAAAAAAAATGGGCAGCAGGAATTGGCTGAAGGGAGATCCATTTTCTCTACATATTTCTATATTGTCTTAAATTTTTTACCAGCATGCATTACTTTTCTAATTTACAAATAAAATGTTTCACACTATTATTGTTCAATAATCCTTTAGACACAATGCTTATCAAATACCACTTTTCCAGATGACCCCAACAGCAAACTGTGGAAGGGAGACCAACAGCAGATAACTCACCCAAAAGTCTTCCCCTGGGAAGGGTCTTCGGCAGACTGTGCAGGTGGCAGAGGCAAGGGTTCCATGAGCTTCAACAAGCTTTGAGGCAGGGATGCCTGATGCTGAAATTCAAGCCACAGCTAAGTGCTGCTGCTGCCTCTGGGGTGCACGCAGGTCCAAACGCACCACTTCTGGGCTTGGCAGGCCTCCTAGAAGAAGGCACAACCCCTTGGGGTTGTGATACCCTCAAGCCTTCTGTCCATGCCCATATCACCTACAGGTCATGCACCACCAACCAGAATAAGGCATGGGAGTAAAGGGGCTCCCAGTTGGAGCCAAATCACGGTTAAAACAAAGCCTGTCAAAGCTCAGTACAAAAACTCATTTGATGTAAGCTCAAATAAAATATATCCGGCTAGGCATGGTGTCTCACGCCTGTAATCCCATTACTTTGGGAGGCCAAGGTGGATTGATCATTTCAGGTTAGGAGTTTGAGACCAGCCTGGCCAACATGATGAAACCCTACCACCACTAAAAACAAAAAAATTAGCCGGGTATGGTGGCGGGCACCTGTAATCCCAGCTACTCGGGAGCTTGAGGCAAGAGAACCACTTGAACCCAGGAAGCAGAGGTCGCAATGAGCGGAGACTATGCCACTGCACTCCAGCCTGGGAAACAAGAGCAAAACTCTTGTCTCAAAAGAAAAAATGATACCCAATACCAGACTGGACACAGTGGCTCACGCCTGTAATCCCAGTGCTTTGGAAGGCCAAGGGAGACAATCGCTTGAGGCCAGGAGTTTGAGACCAGCCTGGGCAACACAGTGAGACCTGACCTCCAGAAAAAAACGTAAAAACTACCCAGGCACGATAGTGCACGCCTGCAGTCCCAGCTATTCCAGAGGCTGAGACAAAAGGATCACTTCAGCCCAGGAGTTCGAGGCAAAAGGATCACTTCAGCCCAGGAGTTCAAGGCTACAGTGAGCTATGATCACGCCACTGCACTCTAGCCTGGGCAACAGCGCCAAGACCCTGTCTCAAAAACTTATATCCAGTACCTAGGAACACATTTTCTATTCTACAGATACCAAGTTAAAATGAGGATATAAATATCATAAATTCCAAAAGAATTGCTTGGTAGAAAAACAGACAAAAAGTGACTTCTTATGAAAGTTGTGTCACTATTGTCTGGCTCTGAAGCACTGTGGCAGCACAGTCAGGGTCCCAGCTGCAGGAGGCTCCCCAAGCCCCTGCCACTCAGCAGTGCTGCATCTCACAGCCAGAGTGCCCACCTTTCCACACGGCCTGCCCTGCTGCACCTCTGGGAGAAGAGACCACCAACATGGGGTAGCCACTGCTGCCTCTGTGGCGCCAGGCTAGGGAATCCTTCTGGCAAGGAAACATACCTGGAGCCAAGGTGTCTCCTCTTTTTAACTGACAACACATCTGCAGACTGGCTGAGCTGCTCCTGGCCCCTGGAGAGCTGACTGTCCCCGCACCTGTCTGCATCACTGCATGTAAGGAAAAGGCCCCATCAAGTGCTTCCCTAGGGTGCACGGCCAGAAGTCGGCACAACCTGTGAATCGCTGGTTTGGGCACCATGTGGATACAGTCAAGAAATCACCACAGGCTGAGTGTGACAATATTTAGGAATTACAAGAGATTCTACGGCGTGAAAATGGTATCAAAGTTGTTTTTAATTTTTAATTTTAATTTTTATTAATTTATTATTTTTGAGATGGAGTCTTTCTGTCACCTAGGCTGGAGTGCAGTGGCACAATCTCAGCTCACTGTAACCTCCGCCTCCCAGGTCCCAGCAATCCCAAGTAGCTGGGATTATAGGGGCACATCACCACGCCCAGCTTTTTCAATTTTTAGCAGACAGGGTTTCCCATGTTGGCCAGTGTGGTCTTGAACTCCCAACCTCAGGTGATCTGCCCGCCTCCCAAAGTGCTGGGATTACAGGTGTGAGCCACTGCACCCAGCCAGAGTCGTGTTTCAAGTCTCCTCTAGAGATAGCTATTCATGTATTTATAGATTATTTCTAGATTAAATTCATGATGTCAGGGATTTGCTTCACAATAATCTGGGGATTTGGATGCAGGTGGTGAGGACACAGGAAGAAGGCCTGGCTATGCTGGTGATGTGGACAGGACGCTTCATTACATTTTTCTCTTGATTTGCATGTGCTCAAAAAAATTCCGCAATACAATTTTTAAAAGAGAACAGAAGGCCGGGCACAGTGGATCATGCCTGTCATCCCAGCACTTTGGGAGGCTGAGGCGGGCGGATCACCTGAG